GTTTCTTACTTTGTGCCAGAGATTGCTCTAGGTACTAGGGGATACAAGAGTGAGCTAAACAAAGTTCCCAGTCATGCAACGTGCAATCTAATGAGAAGAGGCAGGCAATAATAATTAAATAAGCAGATGTGTAGTATGTCAGAAGAAAATGAATACTATAGAGGAAAACAAAGTGGAGAAAGAAGGATAGAGTGTCTCGGGGTGGGCAGTTGTTATTTTATATAAGATGGTCAGGGAGGAGCACTCCTAGAGGTGACATATGAATTACAGACGTGAAGGTCCCTGCAATGTGGCTAACTGGGGGTAAAGTTCATCAGGCACAGGGAACAAAATTCCAAAGGGCCCAAGGTAGGCACATAAGCAGCATACTGAGGAGCAATAAGGAGATGTCTGTGGCTGGATGGCAGTGATCAAAGTGGGTAAGAGGGGGTGAGATCAGAGAGGGCAGCAGGGGCGTCAGAACACGCGGGCTGTGGAGGTCATTGTAAAAATTTTGCCTTTTTCCTCCCACTGATTTGGAAAGTCATTGGGGGGTTTTAGAAAATGATGTGACACGATCTGACATAGTTTCAGGGATTGCTCTGGCTAGTGTGCTGCAAACAGACCACAGCGCAGCAAGTGCGTAGGCAGGGAGGCCAGGGTAATGTTATTTCAGTAACCCCAGTGTGAACTGGTGGCGACTTGGGTCAGTGGGGTAGTGGTGCAGGTCACAGGAAGGGAGAGACGTTGGAGATATGTTGAAGGTGAAGACAGCAAGATCTGCTAATATGTTGCTTTGGGTGTGTGGGGATGGGTGAGAGAAAGAGGAGAGTCAAGGGTTATTCCTGAGCCATTAAACAGATGTTACTGGGATGAGGAAGACTAAGAGTGCGGCAGATGTGGAGGAGAAAATGAATTTAACATTCACATCACCTCCACAAGGTAGGTACTATAGTTATCTTCCATAAAAACTGGGACTCAGTGAGGTGAAGCCTGTGGTCTAGAAGCCACATTCGGTACCAGGAGCTCCAAGAAGTAATTCCTCTACTGCGTGGAGCTAAAGGATTTGGAGTTGGAAGCTCTTGGCAGTGTGAACCACTGAGGCTGGAAGAGGTGGGCCTGGCTCTGCAGAGCCAAACTACAAAGGAGGCCCCCACCTGTAACACACACCTTTTTGCATGTACCCTGTTTGTAGGGCATTCAGGCTCATGGCTTGGGCTCTGGGGGTCTCGTCCACCTGGCGATCAGCAGTAATAGGGGCTTTCTATTTAGGCATTCTAACTGAAATGCAGAAAACCAAGAGGGCTGCAGGCTTCCAAAGCTCTACCTTGTAATTTATGATCCATGCAGTCCAACAGTGTTCAGAAGCGGCTTTGCACATGCTGGAGGAAGGAAGAGATGTCTCCAGCTCCTCTTCTCCACACACATTCCTGACCACACAACACACTTTAGGCAGGATGAAGAGGAAAAGTGCCAGAGAAGAAATCAGGAGGAAAAGAAGGGAAACCCTCTAAATGCTTGCTGTGCTGACTCAGACATAGGGTAGAAGAATGGAAACCTCCATGAAGACCCATTGGTAGCTTCCTGCCCTAGAAGATGCACTTTCGAGACTACTTACTCACCTCCTCCTCTGGATGCAGCCAAACACCACAGTGGAACCATGCTTCGCAGGAGAACACTGCCTGCTTTTTCAAGTTAAACACATCAGAGCCTGTGGTCTCTAAGCCACCTATGGTGCCAGGAGCCTCAAGAAATAATGATGAAAGAAAATCATTGAAATATGGACATAGAAAGCAGCTATACTTTCACTCAGTGACTCTGCAAATTGGGTTAGCTACCCTTTATTCACTGAACCTCTGCTACGGGCCCAGGATGATGGGGTGTCTCTCTCTCTCTCTCATTTAATCCTTGTAACAATCTGGTGAAGTAGGTCTTACTACCGCCATCTCACAGGTGAAGAAGACACAGAGGTTCAGAGAGGTCACACTCCCCTGTCAGTCATGGAGCTGCATCTGAACCCAGGTCCGTCTATTCCAGGCCCTGTGTTTTAACCACTATGCTTTACTACCTCTCAGAGGAAAAGGAGGAGGGGGATATTGCTGAAAATAGTAACAGTCCCCTCTCCCTCCCCTCCATTCTTCCAGAGCTCAGTAGAGGAGAAAGTTGCGAACCTTCCATTCTTATATCTGGCCTATAGTCTAAATCAACTTAAACATTTAAAAATATTTAATTATTACTAACAACAATCAGATGACTACTTTCTCTAAGGAATAGATTAATCTAATAATAGGAAAGGTTTTTAGAGCTGTAGAAGGGGTGACCTTGAAGTCCAGAGAGGAGGTTAAATACTTCTCAAGGTCACAGTTAGTTTGGTGACAGAACAAACAGGCTAAAAAAGCAGGGCCTCCCAGGCCAGAGCTTGGCTAGGCCCCCGAAGCTGCTTTGCAAGTTATCCCTGTCTCTGCCTTAACATGGATGACTTGCTTGAGGGAGGATGATAGCTTTTTTGTGCACTAGAGATTTTAAACACAATCTGAGCTTAGCTGAAGTTTTTAAACAAGGTTTTACTAGAACCTTCTGATGAGTTAGTGTTCTGTTTTCCTCTGCCATCTCCTTCCCCTGCTTTCTCCAACACAGGTCTGTGTCGTGTGCCCTGTTGAACTAGGATTTTCCTACTATAGTTCCTGGTATTTAGCTGGAGTGGAGACGTTCCTCTCTGTCTGGGGTAAATGATTATATTTCTAGAGCCTGCTATAATTTACTCCGTCCTCCCACACTAATAGTGACTCTTCTGCCTACCTCGCTGATTTCTACAGACCTCTGCAATCTGGACCTGCTCCACCCGGCTCATTGCTTTCTTCCCTATATCGAAGCACACCCTTCAGGTCAGACAGGTGTCCTGGTTGCACCCCATTTCCGCCACAGAAATATCTTCCCTGCCTTCCTCCTATGCAAATTCACTCTTCAAGGCTTTGCTCAAGAACTTTTTGCCTCAGACTTCCCCAAGTACAGCTCAGTGGTTTGCTTTCCAAGTTCCCTTTACGTTTATATTCTCAACGACCTAATTTAGCCCTCAGAATGTTTCTGCACATTCTCTAAATGTAATGCGGGCACCTCGAGGGCAGGCACACACGTGTTCGTTCATTCACTAGAGATTTTTTAAAAGCATCTTATAAGGTGAGATGCAAAGAGAAATATAAGCAATGGTTGCTTCTTGTCCTCAAGGAGGGGAGACTCCTTGTTTGCAGACAACTGTCTGGCACATACTGGGCCCTAAACAAAGGTTTGATGCACACACACACACACCAGGGGTCCCCCAAAAATGTATACACGTGACTTGTGTTCATCTTTTGTTATCTGTATATGTTGAGTATTACACTTTTAATAGTTTTTCCTTTCTTAAAATTTTTTTGGTCATATATATTATATATATATATACATACATATATATATACACACACACACACACACATATATATATATATATATATATATATATATATATATAGACACATATACATATTACCACCCTTGTTGCAATTATTTGCTGTAAGTCCCATGAGAGGTATCAGGTGGTATTATTGGGAAGGTATTATGAAAGAGGTGGCATTTGAGCTAGGCCTTAAGGACAGGGAATGTTTTTTTAAAAACAGAATTGGGAGAACAGGCAGAAGAAACAGTGTTCCTACTGCACATTGCTGGGCACACACAGTGCCAGGCACACACCAGATACCAGGTTCAAGGGGAAAGCAGTGCAGTGGAGTGGAGTCTGGGTCCTTCCTCCGCGCCAACCAGCCTTAGTGAGAGTGGGCAAGTTGCCTCATTTCCTTGGGGCCCCATTTCCTTCCCACGCAGAGCACAGGCTCTGGAAGAAGCAGATGGAGGTTCGAATCATGGCTGTACCTGACCTTGAGCCAATCATTTGGGGCGGAGGCTCAGCCTCAGGTTTCCTTCCTATAAAATGGGTAAAACAATTCCTGCCTTACAAGGTTTTTGTGAGGTTTTAAGAACACATGTAAGTTGCTAAGCACAGTCCCTGCATTATTATATTGTCTTCTATCAAAGTAGGGGCGACACTCCATCTGCCTCCCTGTCAGTGCACTGCTGCTGATTACCCAGCGCTGTCCCTAGAGGGGATGTGGACAGACTGTGGGACCCCCAAAGGCAAAACGGAGTTAAAAGGGCTTTAGGAAAAGAGTAAACAGCGTCGACAGCGGACTGACTCTCAATAAATGTGTTCCCACGAAGAGACTTCACGGAGTCCAAGAATCTTTGCTAACTGTCCCAAACATGCTTGCGGGGTTGACTGGCTTCTATACAGCCCTTTGGGCCTCCGCCTTGAAACCCAAGGAAGGAGACAAGGCCCAGGCCCGTGGCGGGCTTGGAGGGTGGGATGGGGGGGAGGGCAGGGATTCCCCAACTCCCGGCGGGAAGGAACGGGGGTGGGGTGGGGTGTCTGTTCTGCCCTCTTACTCCCACTCCCAGGGGCAGGGCTCCTGGGGCGCCCCGCTTCATTGCCTCTCTCCGCACAGGTCACGAAGGGAGGGGGGCTCGCACTTGGCCCACTGCACCGGGTCACCCCGGGCTCTCCTCCCTCCGACCGCGCTAGCCACACCCACCTTGGTCGCCATCCTCCGAGCCCCCGTGGCCCCCTGCTCAGTCGCCAGTCTTGGCCCCGGGTCGCCCCAGCCCTTCGCCCCATCCCTTTGGCTACCTCGGCGGCCGGCCCCCGCCTCCCTAGTCCCTCTTCGGCCACCCCTCCCCGCCCGGCTCCCGTAGACCCCGCGGGGTCACCACCCCCACCCCGGCCCACGTAGGCCCCGCCTGGCCCCCCCCAGCCGCCCCGCCTAGACCCTGCGGGGCCACCCCTTCTCCTCGGCCCTCCCTCTTTGGGGTCGTGGCGGCAGGGGGAGGGGCCCGCCGGCCCCCGCGTGCGTGGCAGGCTCTCCCGGCCTCCCTTCCCGGGGGGCGGGGTCGGCGCCGCGGCGGCGGCGGCAGCGGCGGCGGCGGCGGCAGCGGAGGCAGGCCCCCTCCTCCTTCCTCCCTCGCCCGGCCTCCTTCCTCGCCGCCCGCCCGTCCGCTCTCTCTCTCTCGGCTGCTCCGACGCCAGCAGCGCCCGCGCGCCCAGCCCCGGGGGAACCCGAGGAAGTTTCCCGGCCGCGCGCCCTCCTCCCTCGCCTCGCAGCCCCGCGGCCTCACCCGCCGCCGCGCCCGCCATGCCCTCGGCCAAACAAAGGGGCTCCAAGGGCGGCCACGGCGCCGCGAGCCCCTCGGAGAAGGGCGCCCACCCGTCGGGCGGCGCGGATGACGTGGCGAAGAAGCCGCCGCCGGCGCCGCAGCAGCCGCCGCCGCCCGCGCCGCACCCGCAGCAGCACCCGCCGCAGCACCCGCAGAACCAGGCGCACGGCAAGGGCGGCCACCGCGGCGGCAAGTCCTCCGCCGCCGCCGCCGCCGCCTCGTCCTCGGCGTCCTGCTCGCGCAGGCTGGGCCGGGCGCTCAACTTTCTCTTCTACCTCGCCCTGGTGGCGGCGGCCGCCTTCTCGGGCTGGTGTGTCCACCACGTCCTGGAGGAGGTCCAGCAGGTCCGGCGCAGCCACCAGGACTTCTCCCGGCAGCGGGAGGAGCTGGGTCAGGGCTTGCAGGGCGTGGAGCAGAAGGTGGGTATCCCTGGCGCCCCCTCCCCCAAACCCTCATCCGCCCGGCTGCCACCCCAGCACTCACAGCCGGGGCCCCTCGTGCCCTCCCGGCCGGGCCCCTCACCCTGCGCAGGCCCGTGGCCGGAGCCGGTCCCCCTCCTCGGTCAGCGGCCCGGGATGCCCCCATCCGGCTCCCTATTCCGAGGCCGCCCCCTCTTTGTTAATGGCCGCGGAGGAATGGGCCCGAGGGATGGACCGCCGCGAGGGTGGGCCAAGGGCCTGTCACAGGACAGGAGCGGTGACCTGTAAGGAAGTCGGCAGGCTCCGAGGAGCCCATTCTTCTTGGGATGAGGAACCGCTGAATGGGCAGAGTTGTCTGAAAAGGAGGTTGGAAGGGAAGCCAGCGCATCCCTGGAAGCCTCTGGCAAGGCCTCACGCACCTCCGCTCTCCCAGTGGGAGACATCTGAGCCAGTTTTTCATAGACCCGGGGCTTGAGAAAGCGAGCAGTCATTCATTTGCGAAGTTCAAATGAAACATTACATATCTCTAGGCCCCCTTGTCTTTTTAGTGGACCAGTGTACCCACTTGGGTCTTTGCAGCTGCATACTTAAGCCTCAGAAGAAAGGAAAGGCCACAAATACTAGGTCATATTGGTGAATAATACCACCAGGCACATTTATGTGGCGTTTAGAGGGCTTGCTCACTTCTTATCTAATCCTCATAGCAACCTTGGGAGGGAGGTGGGACTGGCAGTTTTGACTCCATTTTCCAGACCAGAAAACTGAGGTTTAGAGAGATTAAGCGAATTGATAAAGATCCCAGCTGGTGAGTGGCAGACGGCGTGAGAATGTCTAGGCCACTGCCCCAGTGCAAGGTCCACAGGGGCCTGTTTCAGGTGTGGATGGACCCCGCTTTCAACATAGAGCCTCTTAGCTTCCATCCTTACGTGTTTTTCCCACACCAAATGCAACTCCTTCAAGTCTCATTCCTCCTCTTCGTCCTCCACTAATATCATTGCTCAATGAAAGTTGGTTGCCTGATTGAAACAAAAAATCCCGCCACCACTTATGAGCCCGGAACTGCTGCCTCCTTTCCCAGCATGCTGCCTGTCCTGCCAAGTTTTTCTTGAGTGTGCAGGACTAGGAATTTCCTCTTAAGACTGGCGGAGCAACTGGAATGAGTCAGCCTGCTCAGTGCTGCAGGCCATGGGAGGTGACTTTTTGTAGGGAATTAAGGAGGCAGTGCTGCTCTGACTACCCTGAATGTTAAATCATTCTTAAAAAATAGACATACTGCTGGAATATAATCACTAGGTTCCCCTTTCCCTCCCCGTCATCTACCCAATCAATCATAATATTTATTGAAGTCTGATAGTCATATGGTTCCGCGTAGGCCCTGTGCAGGGTACAAATGTGGAAAAGACGCAAGTCGTATTTGTGAAGCTGCACATCAGTAGGTTTCCGTCATGAGAAACCGTCCACAAGAGAGAGTGTGGACTTTGCCTAGGCCTGTGTTCCGGTGGCCAGGGAAGTGCCAGTTGAGATCTAGTTGGTCATCGATAACTGTTGAGAGAAAGAATGAAGAATAGACAGGCTGGGGACTACCTTGAGCATGTTTGAGGAACAGCAGGTGGCTACCCTGCCTATACTAGAGTAACATTTAGGAGGTTGTGAGAGGCGCGATTGAAATGGAGGTTCGATTGGGGGCGGTTATGAATCCAGGTTGAAGAAACTGGGCTTTATTCTCTCTGCTTCCTGTCTGTCCCCCTTATTCCTTCCTTTCTGGTCCCCACTACTTCTCCGTCACAGCTATGTACCGATTACTCTTTTGGGGAACCAAAAGTTTTCCCATCTACACAGAAGGGAGGGCCCTGTTCAGATTTTTAAGAATCCACCTGGCTGTAAACTATTTCTATTTCTATAGTGACCTTTTTTTTTTTTTTAAATTTAGTAGTGGAATCAAGCTATTATTTAATGCCTCGTTTTTATTGTGCACTCATCTCTCACGACCCCAAGAAATCCAGTTCACCCTTGAACAACACAAGATTGAAGTGCGTGGGTCTACTTATACGTGTTTTTTTTCCTCCAGTAAATACATACAGTACCAATAATGTATTTTCCTTCCGACTTTCTTAATCACACTTTCTTTTCTCTTACTTTATTGTAAGAATATAGTATATAATACATGTAACATACAAAGTATGTGTTAATTGACTATGCTATTGGTAAGGGTTCTAGTCAACAGTAGGTTATTAGTAATTAGTTAAGTTTTGGGGAAGTCAGAAGTTATATGTGGACTTTTGACTGCATGGGGGTCTCCCCTAACTCTTGTATTGTTCAAGGGTCAGCTGTACTATTATCCCCCTTTTGCAGATGAGGAAAGTGAGATAGAGGCCACGTAACTGCATGGTTACCCAACCAGTGAGTGGCAGGGCTAGGATGCAAACCACAGTTAACTCCTAGAACACTCTTAACCACTCATCTGTTCATTTTGTTATCTTTTCCATGCCTTGGTAGTAGGTGCTCAATTAATGCTTATTCCATTGAGTTGGAACTTAGAACATGCCCAGAACAGTGTTAGGATTTGCAACAGTGTGTGGCCACTTCTGTCTGCCTTTCTGGGTAGACGGTAAATAAGTTATTTTGCATTGGAGAGTGAGTAGCGATGGGTCCTCTGAAAACCTAACTTTGAACCCCTTATAAGTCGATGTGAAGTGAGGCTTAGTCGGGGTGGGGTTTGGTTCTTAGCAGGGGCATATATTTACTGTGTTATTCATAGTTAGTATTCACTATTATTATTCATAATTAGTATCATACTTAGTGTTATTCATAGTTAGCATTCACATAGTTACGCCAGGCATTCTCAGTGCTTCCCAGCCACCCTCCGAGGCAGGTACCATTTATTAGCACCATTTCACAGATGGGCCAGCTGAGCCTGGAGCAGCTGTGTTAACTCATTCAGGGTCATACACAGACCCTAAGTGGTAGAGCTGAAGGGCCTGGTTGCCTAAAGTGATTGTAGGAGTAGGCTTCGGCCTAGTGGGGACAGTTTAATGAGACTAGTGGCTTTTTGTAGAAGAGTGAGTTCTCTGGTTGTGTTCCTTGGTTTTCATCTTCACATCTGGACCAGGAGTCAGGGCTTCTGGTTTCGGCAGCATCTCCTGCGGACGCTCAGTGCACTTTGAACACTCCTCTGCCCGAGCATTTCACGTGGCGGTTAAGAGCTCAGGTGCTGAAGTCGCACGGTCTGGGATTTTGATGCTCAGCTCTACCACTTCTCAGCCTCCTCATTTGTAAAATGGAGATCGATAGGAGCCCCCAACGCATGAGATGATTATGATGACGTGATGAGATGATGTCTTTGAAGTACAGTAAAACCTTGGATTGCGAGTGACTTGGTTTGCGAGTTCCGCAAGACGAACAAACATTTCTAATACAGTTTAACTTGGTAAACGAGCGATGTCTTGCAATACGAGTAGTTAGTTTCCGGAACGAATTATGCACCCAAACCAGGGCATTACTGTACTTTGTATACTGTCGGTATACAGTAAGTGCCCAGTTGAATGCCAGTCACTGCCACCCCCCTTCCTCAGCTGTGAGCTCCTTGAGGGCAGGTATTCTGTCCTAGCTGTTGTTTTATCTCTGGCGTCTTAGTGGGCATACCACATGTATTGGGGGAACAGATGCATCCATTGCATATTAATTGTAGGAAGATCTTTGCATGTAAAGATGAGCAACTACAGCAGCATCAGTAGGGAGACACTTCCTGTGTTCTTTCCATACTGTTGGGGGTTGGTGGGTTTGGCTTCATCCATAAGTTCTGATCTAGTCCCCTTCCTAGCCATTTGTAAAGACCTAGCCTAGGTTAGGGGTGACAGTCAGGGATCAGAGGGGAAATGCACCAGCTTGGTCTTCATCAGTCTTTGCTCTGTTAATTCATTTATTCTTTGATTCACTCAGAAAACACTAATGAACGCCTGCCATGTTGCAGATTCTGCGCTCACCTGCTCACACCTCTATTCTGAGTGCTATGCTTAGAACAGGCAAGTAGTGTGATTACATAACCTAGTTTCAGAGGTGAGCTCTCTCCAGAGTCCTTTATGACTCAGGTTATATTTGGTTGGGCAGGGAAATTGTCTAATATTCTGGAGTCCTTGAGAACCTAGTCTAATCTGTCTTAAAATCACAGACTGGTGGAAGCCAGAAGGGGCTTTAGAAACCTGTTCGTTAATAGACAAGGAGCTTGGGACTTGGAAAGCGAGTGTGACTTATTTGATTTGTGCTCACAGAGCTGGTTATTGGTGGGGCTGGAACTAGAGCCCAGGTGTCCTGTTCACATTCCTGTAGCGTTTTCCATTTGGCATTGGGCTGAGGACAGTCTAGGAATCTCCAGGCTTCTGAGCTCCTCCAGAAGAAAAGTTAAATGATAGTTACCGTGCATTGATCATTCACTATGTGTCGGGCACAATTTAAACACTTGACATATATTAACTCACTTAATTTTCACAAGACAATCCTGTGAGTCAGGTACTATTTTTGTTCCCATCTTGTACCTAGGGAAACCAAAGCACAGATAGGTTAACTAATTTACCCACAATCACACAGCTAGGAAATGAACATAAGCAGTCTGGTCCTACAACCCACACGATTTTAGTTTTTGACTTTTTATCATGGAAATGTTGAAGCATAAACAGGAGATCAACATAATAAATCCCAATTTCATTCTATCACCAGTTCTTCCCTCTTTTTTATTTTTGGTTTGGAGTAAGAAACAGTTTGACTATGAAGCACTCTACTCCACTATCTTATTGGGTACCCACCTGGTTTCTTTTTTTCTTTTAAGCACTTTTTTTTTTTTTAGATTTTTTTTTTTATTGGGGTATTGGGGGGAAGGGAACATGCTGGGGAATTGGGGGAAGGGAACAGACAAGTTGCTGTTGTTTTGTTCTTCAGTCTAGTTGTGGAGGACGTTGCTTCACTGGCCCAAGTTGGCA